TTGACTGAAATTTCAATTTAATATCAAAACACCGTAACTTGCAATAAATAGGTATTGACGGTATTGAACTTTCAACGATATGCCAACAGGATACAGTTGAAATTATATTAAAAATCCAGAATTTGCTATTTCTTTTTAAATTTGAAACTCCGACCAATCATTATCAAGATTTCGTAGTGTTTCAAATTAAGACTGTGTGCGTTTTGGCGACATTAGTTCTGATAGTAATCGAGGCTCATGGCACTTCCATTGTTTTTTTCCCGAGCACCCACGCTCATATATCCCCATGCGTGTTGAAGATCTCAATAGATCTCAAACCTTCGTTTGGCGGCCCCTATTTAGATTTATTGCCAAAAACAATTAGTTAACCTCAGTAATTGTTTTTGGAAATAAAACATTATTTTCGTTTTTCCGAACCGATTTTAAAAATCACTGTATTTGTAATATCAGACAACATTGTTTTTTTTTAATCCGGGTTACATTGCTAATGCGCAGCTATCGCGAAAACTTAACAACTAATTGTTTTGGTTTTATTTTTGATGGTTAGAATAAACAATTTTGGCAAAGAGCGCGTTTTACGTGAGAAAATACATCACAATATACATTCCATGTACTCTAATGTCGTACAAACTTTTTAAAGTTTAAACCAGGACCTTAACCCGTTCATGGACAATACTTGAACAGTACCGCATTCAAAAATTCACTTTTCTTTGTGCCGTAGTGCTTATATGAATTCAATATAAAATGTTCAATGAAAATTATTGATAGGAAATGAAACTGTTTTTCCGGATTTAAATCGCGTATATTTGTTTTTTCAAACAAACTGACGTTTCGGGCCCTTTACAGGTCCCAAAAAAACAAATATATGCGATTTAAATCCGGAAAAACAGTTTCATTTCCTATGTGTAACAATCGCGAAAACCTAAGAACTCGAAAATTACTGAATTATGTCAGTACGTTGTCGACCTTTTTTTCTGGAGAAACAGTCGGCCGCAACTACAAAGAAAGCACTTGGAAATCGCATTATAAGTCCCGTTGTCGCTTTTTGAAATCCGGATAGCGAAACGAGGTAACTCGTACTATCATATCCTGATATTTAATTTTACGGTAAACGCCGTTACTATCCATGAATGGGTTAAACACCCTATGTTTCACTCAGTTGGAGAACCCATGTGACGCACGGGTCTGAAGTCCTCTAGCAGTATTGGGCAAAAATGAGGGATTATGGCTTATAGATCTCTTCAAAGAAAAACCTAAGCCCGCAGTATTTACATGATTAGCTGTGGTTTAATATGGTTTGATTTGGGAGATAGTAGTTGCTTTTATATGTTGGTACGTATTTTGTAAACAATTGAATATAACATTTTGTTGGCGTTTACAGACTGTGGAGTAGTAACCAAGAAGCAATGGGGCGGATTATCCCCGACACACGTAGAGTATCTACCCCGGCCAGTTGATTTGGTTATAATTCAGCACACAGTCACCCCCACGTGTGAAACCGACCAATCGTGTGAAGAACGAGTGGCAAACATACAAGGCTTTCACATGGACAGTCTGAATTTTTGGGACATTGGACCTTCGTAAGTTCACATTTACTGAATCTAAAGTTCCTGTTATAAGTTTTCTCAATAAAAACCACACTATTTCAGGATTCAGAAATAAATGGCTAAATTTTTACATTAGCTTCTAGATCAACGCTTAAACAATTACACGAGGTCTGTATAAACCTCTTAAAAATCAAACATTTGTCATAATTTTACTAGTAGCCTTACGTCCGAGTAAAAAAAATCGAAGAAGTCAGAGGTGGTGTAATTCAACTAAATAAAATTAGTCGTGCAGCGCACATAGCAATTTTCCTGTTTATTTTTTTGGAGTGTAACCACATTATAAAAGGTAAAACAAAATCGGTCCGTTTAATAGAATCGGATGTTTTTGAATTCAGTTACGAGAAATACAAGGTGTGGTCTCCACAACTAACATTTTAAAACGTGACAATGTATGTATTTTAAATTTTATTGAATTGATATTCAATTATTTTTTGTGAAATTACTCCAAACAAAGATCGAACACTCAAAAAAGAAAAAATTCCTTCGATCCGGCCGGATTCGAACCGACGTCTTCTAGCATACCGTGCCAGACGCTATACCGACTAAGCCACGGAACCAGCGGACCTCACGAATTCCTCTATGTGCTTGTTGTCGTGTCTACGTTTTCAATGACTTTTTAGTCATAATTAGAATGTAATTCCACAAACCTTTGAGACAGCTATTTATTTTTACAAAAATTCAGTTGTTAGCTACATAACACAACGTAGTAACTACATGTAAAGTAAATTATGTTACGCAGTTACTACGTCATATTTACTTAAAATTAAATATAGAATATTAATTGGTAAGCTGGGTTCCAAAGAGTGTGGGAATATTAACTGCGGTGTCGGAAACTTGCTTTGTTTATATTACATATATAGAGAACGAATAGACTAACATTAGTACTTTTACATTTTATTATTACATTACTTTTACTTTACTAGTTTATTATTACATTACACACGAATAGATTACATTCCCTAGTTAAGCAATTATGTTTCGGAGAAATATTTGTTTAGGGCACCAGGTGGAGTCCTAATACACGGGGCACAATAAAACACGTCCGATCGATACTGCGTATTACTAATTATGTTTTAGAAACCTACGCATACATTTATAGACGAAATATTTGTTACAATTAGTAATTAAAATCGTCTCATTTTGTGCAATAATAAGTTAAGAATTCATATTAATTTGTAGTATAATTATCAAGCAGTGGTAACCCAATGGTTTTACCTACCGCCTCTCAAGCAGAGGCCGTGGGTTCGAATTTGGGCTCGCACCTCTGAGTTGTTTGGAATGTTTTGTGCGACGTTTAACTTTAAACTTACCATGAGCTTTTCTTTTATATTAAAAAATAAGTACACATTTGACTTCCATGTCACCTGATGGAAAGTGACGATGAAGTCGACGATGGCGCATGCACACCTAAAACACTCAGCTTTCTGCAGCTTTTTGTTCGAGGAAGCAAAATGTCGTGATGAATCCTGCACGTCGATGAAGTTTCATAAGCCTCGGAAAACGTATACAATCCCTGTCCCGCATTGACTTAGTGTGGCTAAACCCTGTCATGAGAGGAGACCCATGCTCAGCAGTAGGACGTACATATAGGTTCATGTCGTTTGATATGATTGATTGATCATTATCATATTTTGTAAGACCTTTTTGCAAAACTTTGTGACGATGAAATACAAATATGAATTTGTCTATAATCTTGTCGTTTTTGGTTACACTGTTTAACTTTTTAATCTGTGATATTATTCTTGTTATTTTGAGCGTTTCTTTGCAGGTTTTTAATAGGAGGTAATGGTAAAGTGTACGAGGGATCAGGCTGGCTGCACGTTGGAGCTCACACTTACGGCTACAATCGCAAGTCCATTGGGATCACTTTTATTGGTGATTTTAATAGTAAGTTATGTAATATAATCTAAATACCTCTTAATGTAATATGAGGCTTGATTCATATCGCCGAGACGCAACGCATCGCGACGCGGCGCTACATTAAAACGAGCAATGCAACATTAACTTCATCCACTATAAAACAAGATGTTGAGAAAGGCCTTCAGGTAGACACAGTCTATACTGATTTTTCCAGTGCGTTCGACAAAGTTGATCATGCCCGTTTACTTATGAAAATCAAAGCTTTTGGTGTCAATGGCTCCCTGTTATTATGGTTTAAGTCATATCTTCTATAAAGACCTCAAATTGTGACAGTAAATGGGTACGAATCATACACTTTTTTTGCTAAATCAGGTATTCAGTCATTCATACGTCAGGGATCTCATCTTGGACCAATACTTTTTGTAATGTTCATTAATGATATAACTATGATAAAAAAACATAGTAATGCATTACTCTTTGCTGACGATTTAAAATTGTATCGCACCGTTACGAGTTCTTCTGATGCCGTATTATTGCAACGAGATTTATACAGTATTACTGTTTGGTGCAATAATAATAGAATGTCACTGAACGCGCAAAAGTGTCACACCATAAGCTTTACTACCAAGCGCAATCTTATTGTACTTTACTCATACAATATTAACAGTGTGATACTAAAGAAGGTAGATGAAGTAAGGGATTAGGGAGTTACAATTGAGAGTGGGCTAAAATTTAATACACATATAGATAACATTATAAGAAGAGCGGCACAAATGCTGGGTTTCCTGAGACATAACTGAAAAGATTTCAAATCAGTGAAAACTAAAACCATACTTTTTAATAGTCTTGTTCGGAGTCATTTGGAATTCGCCAGTGTACTGTGAAACCCAGTCTACTGTGCTCCCTCACAAAGACTTGGAAGTATTCAGCGTGCGTTTACATGGCAATTAGCTTTTTTCTCGTCGGGTATATCACATAGACTACATATACTTCAAAATGAATACGCTTAGAGATCGCCGAATATTATCGGGCCTCTTATTTTTACATGGTATACTAAATAATACAATAAAATGTTGCAATATTCTGAACCAAATAAAAATTAACATACCTTATAAATACCCCCGTCATAAATTAATGTAACCAAAATATTTAATGTACCACGATGTCGGACTAACCTAGCTCTGCACAGTCCACTGCCTAGATTATCCTCTACTTACAACCAAATTAATGTTCGAATAGATATAGACATTTTTTATTCTTCCCGTAATGTTTTCAAAAATAACATTAAACAAACTGCTGCAGCGAGCTGCAGTAGGCGCACTTTATAAAATGCAATATACTATAGAACATATTCTCTACTAAATAAAGTATACATTTCTTCAAACAACAAATAACAAGTCGCCGACGGTAGGAAACGGTTGGCGACTTCGTGCTGCACCGCGCGGCGCCGCGCGAAGTCGCCAACAACGGTCGGCGACTTGTAGGCTGGCTCCGCCCACTTGTCCCGCCTCCGGTAATACAAAGTGTAACTTAGCTTCTCTACAATAAGGTATATTGTTGTATCTTTGAAAGGCATACTGCCTAGTAAATGCAATACAATATAGAATTTCATATCTAATGAATAAAGTATACATTTCTTCGAACAACAAAAAATAGGTTGCGCGGTGCAGCGCGGCGCAGCGCGACGCTGCTTCCCGTCGCCAGCTTGTGCTGTGAAAGGCAATGCAAAATACATTTAGCTTTTCAACAACAAGGCATAATTCTTTGAAAGTCAGCTATCAGCTGATCGACGCTGGCATGCGTAGCGCGAACTTTGGAAATAGCATTGCAATATAGAACTTCTCATCTAATAAATAAAGTAAATATTTCTTCTCACGGGAATCTGCTATACGAATGGGGGTCGTGTTTATGCAATTTGTAGATTTTACATGCAATTAATACAATAGTCCAAATAAGATGACCTCGATGGTCCAACGGTTTGAGCACTACATGAGAAGATTTCGGGTTCGGTTCCCGGTAGAACCAATTTGGGGAAATGAACTTTTCAAAAGTGGTTTTGGCTTAGGTGTTCTCGGTAGAGCCTCGGAGTGATTTTGTAGCTCTCGGTTCCGGGTACTATTCACGGTAGAACCAATTTTAAAAATAAACTATTCGAAAACGGTTTTGGCTTAGGTGCTTTGGGTTGAATTCCGCAGAGTGAATTCCGTAGCTCTTGGTCCCGGGTTCGATTCTCGGTGGAATCAAATTGGGAAATGGACTTCTTTGAAGTAGTTTTGGCCTAGATATTCTGGTAATGCTCCTGTTTGGATTCCATTGTTCTGGTGCTCATAAGGAGTACAGAGAGTTCCCTTGTTTGAGACCAGCATACGTAGCATGGCGGTATATCGAATACGATATGTGGTAAGCCTCCCTCTGGCATAAAATGCAGTCGACAAAGCGGTTTATTTCCAGTAGTTCCATATACTCAGTCTCACATAGAACAGTTGTAACCCAAAAGTTCCAATAACTTAAATTTTTATTGAATTGATATTCAATTATTTTCTGTGAAATTATTCCACTACTTTGTTATAATTGTTAATACAAAGAAAAGTGTTCGACTTAGAAAAAATTTCTTCGATCCGGGCAGATTCGAACCGACGTCTTCTAGCTCACCGTGGCAGACGCTATACCGAACGGTATATATATATACATATATATACCGTTCGGTTCGGTTCGTTCCGTGACCGTGTTCCAATAAACATGAACCCCGGGGCGTAACATCTAATATAGAAACAAAAAAATCTCAAGGAAAATATTTACATGTACTTTTTGTTAATAAAATATATAAGTGCTCATTTGACCTCCATCTCATCTGGTGAAAATTGATGATGGGGTCGACGATTATATAATTTTTATACAATACTTATTCTTTAACGCTACCTACCGAGTTACTTCTTGCGATCATTGCAAACAGTTACTTTCGTTCAATACATACCAGTTGTGCCTCTACCATGAGATTACAGTGATTACAATAAAGTCGTGGTGGAAACATAGAACACACATTATAATATATTATATTTTTTTATTTATTCAATTTGTACCACAATAATACGGCATATAAAATTTAATTTAGTTATTAATGCTATCATAATATATTTTTACCCTAAGTTTGCCTTAAAGCAATTGGGTAACAATACCGCCTTTTGTACTTTGGCTTGTGTTATTGGATTGTTATAGCAAAGATAATAATACAATATTATACTTCTAAAGACACCCAATTTCATACAAAGAAATGTCGCACTCGTAACTCCGCCTATTCGGATGCTTATTTTGATTGTTAATGCCAATCAATATACGGTACCAAGTAAACCCGCGATGCGATTGTTATAATATTCGAAAAGGCCAACAGATGGCAGCAATTACATTTTTGTCAGGGTTATTGCCCATTATACCCGATTTAGATCCGAAAAAATTATGTCATTTCCAACGTTATTGCTCTTGTTCAGGCGTTGATTATATATTATATACACAGGTCGCACTATAAGTTTCCGGACCTGGCCACTTACATAAATAATATTTCAAAAGTAATTACAACATTTGAAAATGGAACTCTTTGGATGTAGAATACAGTTTGTTTCATCTGACTGTCACTTGTTTTTACATTGTGGCGTCATTTTAGAAATTGGTAGTCGACATCCATCGAGTATATAACCAGAAATAAGAGCCATATATTCCTGGTAACACTTTAGCGATACAGCTCTTATAAATATCAACTCTCGTTTGCACTGAAATATAAACAGGCCAACTACTGACCTGTGTGTACGTCTCCGTATATTCCAAAAATATTCTGTACTTATTGTAATAAAGATAATAAATATCTCTAACAATGCCGTGCTGTTCTATTCGGTGGTGTGGGAAAAACAGCAAAACATCTAATTACAAAACAAACGGAATCACATTTCATCGGTAATTAAATAATAAATATGTAACTTTGCAATTTTCGTCCATCATAGCAAAGCGCAAGTTAACTGGTCGATTTGAAGTGAAACAGTTGACGACACCCGTCAATTGTTTCGAACTCGGGCTGGCCAATCGGAGCGCAGTTGTCATAGTAATGATGTGGCAGAATAGTTTTCAAGCAAATAAAATGACATTTCGTCTCTATTTCTGGTTATATACTGGTTGTCTACATCACCGTGAATTTAACTCATGAAAATTTTCGTAGTACGATTTTCTACGACTTTAAGTGTAATTTAACAGCTCAGCAGAGCTTCACTCGGCTTCAAACTGCTTTTGGCGATGAAGCACCATGCGTGATGGTCGCCCGTACACTGCTGTGAACAATAAAAACATCCATGCTGTGCGCCGTATGACCAAAACAGACAGGCATGTGACATACTATGAGATTCGGGCATCTTTAGACATAGGAATACTACACAAACATTTGAGCGTGAAAAAGCTGTGCTCTCGGTAGATCCCACACAATTTGACTGAGGCTCAAAAAACGGATCGCGTCACTTGGTGCAATGCCATATTTACCAGATTCAACGAAGGGGCGTCAAATCTGGTGTGGGACATAGTAACAGGTAACGAAACATGGATTTATAGTTACGATCCCAAAACAAAGCAGCAATTGAGTGTATGGGTCTTTCGAAATAAGCCGAAACCAACCAAAGTCACGCGCGTGCAAAGTGCCTCTAAGCGGATGATTGCTTCTTTTTTTAATAAAACTGGACACGTGACTACTCTTGCTTTGGAGAATCGTTGTACCGTGAATAGTGATGGGTACACGACCATTTGTTTGCCTGAAGTTATTGACAAACTCCGTAAAAATAACCGTAAACGACGTATCGTCTTGCACCACGATAATGTCAGTTCTCACATGGCCAGACAGACAAATGAATTTTTGAGGGGGAACAACGTTGACCTTTTGAGCCATCCCGCGTACAGTCCCACCTGGCACCTTGTGACTTTTATTTATTTCAAAAAGTTAAGAACCGGTTATGAGGTCAACGACTGATCATTTATAGTATTTTTTTCTTATTCAT